GATTGATAGAAAGTGAGCATGGGGAATGCAGATAGGTCACTGCCCGGATGGCTTGCCCATATGAATGAGTAGGGAGAAAAACACTAACACGATCAATGATTCTTATGATCGTGTGAGATGGCGAACCATGAATGTCTATGCCTATTGGCACAGCGTATGATCTTGATGATATTTGCTGTACATTCTGTTGTTAAAACCAGTCTTTGGTATTTATAGTTCCGCTCTTGAGGACACCATTTTTCACCCTTTGAATTCTGAGCTGGATTATCTTCACAGCACTCCAGACACATCCACTTCTGATCTGACCCTTGCGAGTTCCATGGTCCCATTTTAGGGTTGTACAAAGAATAAGCCCCCTGCCCCCTGACAAGCGACTAGGTTGGGGTTGGTTGGAACCAGCTGTGTTGGTCTAAGTGACGTACATATTGCCGGGTTTGAGGTTTGAACAACGATCAACATCATGGCGCAGGGGTAGTAACCCATAAGTTCTCCGTTCTTTCGTCTAACTCAAGTCTTGAGTCCGAAGAAGCTTAGCACAGTGCACAGGTTCTGAAGCATCGGCGAGGATCCTGAAATACTTTGGGTAAATTTGAAACTTCAAATTTTTGCCCGGGCAGCGCCGTAAGGCTACTTTTTTCTATTCCGTAAGGCTACTTTTTTCTATTTCCAACTGCCAAGGGATTTTTTCCGTGCGCAACAATACACACAGGCGTCCGATCTCACTACCCAGAGACCTAGGACATATTGCTACCTAGCTGTAGAATAGTAACAATAGTACAACTGCCCATTTAAGGGCAAACTTGGAAGAAAAAGAGGTATTCTTATCTGGCTGCTGAAGCAAGGCTATCTTCAACTTATCTTCAATATTGAAGAAGGTTATCTTACTTCTTTAGGCAGGCATTAAGTTACTGCTATGGCAGAGACATGGCTCTTCAACACCACCATGGACCTTTTCACTTGGTATACATATTCACATCTCATCCAGATAACTAATTTTGTCTTTTCCTCTGCCTCGTTTTCTCCTCCTCCTCAAACACGGTCTACTACTTCTGTTTCTTCTTCCTTTTCTTTTTTCTTTATATAGATTTATGTTACACCGGGGTAACCCAAAAGTGCTCCGTTCTACTTCTAACTCAAACCTGAATCTGAAGAATCTCAGTGCAGTGCACGAACTTACTTTTTATTTGTTCAGCAACACTATCTAATTCTAAGAATTCACATGCCTTCTTTGTTCAATTATGTATCAGCTAGTCTTTATTTGAAACAAATAATTTAAATACTTTGGATGTTGTTATCATTTTTGTATAACATGTCAGATTTAACAACAACCGAAATCAGGAAAACAGCTGATCAAAACAGACATGATCCAACTGAAATATTTTGTTCAGCATCATCCTAACCTATATTAAAGCCAACAGGTCTGTCACTTGCATTATCAGTCATAATATCAAGACTATTCTCACTATCTGGCTGAAATTCATCAAAGACAGAGCAGTATGAACTGTTCTTGGCCTTTTCCCTTATCATTTGGTGTAGAAAAATCACATACAAACTGTATCACATCTTAAAAAATGTAAACAAATCAAAAAATTTTCAAACACCACGCCGAACTTCTAAGACAAAAGGACTCCATTTCGCTAATTCTAGTTTTTCAAAATGTGTTCATACAAATTCATTTTCCTAGCAAAAAAAACCGACAATATTAGAGTGTCTATGCGTGGAGCCACTTAAGTGGTGATCCATCCAAACATGTTGGATTCAGAAGCCACTAAAGTGGTGATACGTCCACAGAGAGTTAATAACCTAATGAATAACCCTAAATAACCAAAAACAGTTTCTATTTGGTGATCTACAAATATAACCAGCAAATGATATCATTTATAGAGAAAAAAACCCTTATCTTTAAAATGCAATTCTTTTTTTTTTAAATTCTAATATTTATAAAATGTAATAAGTTCATAAGTTTAAAAAGTTAGTAGCATATCCTTTACAGGACATTGCAGAACTAACCACAGCATGTTTTGGCGGATGAGGTTTTTCTAGGCAAATTTTATGTTTAGTTGCCGTGTCTCTCTGAATGGTCAGCTCTCTGTACCACTATCGAAACCAATGCAAGATGAATTGTCCACAACTGGAATCGAACCTGACAACCCAGCATTACGAAGCACATTTGCAACACCTAAGCCACAGACAAAATGTTGGGGTATACGCCAGATTTTGGAAGGAAAAAAAATGGGTTTGCAGATTTTAGCTAGTTGGAATCACTGACTTGATGAATTACTCAATGACTGATTCGGTAAATAACTTGATAAATAAATGAGCAAATAGCCTAATAATTTATTCTGTTGAATAAGCTTATGGATTCTTCTTCTTTTGCCCTGCATCCCCCCAGTGGAGCATAGGCCCTCAGCCAACTCACACCAAATCATCCTATCCTTTGCTGTCACAAGCAGCTCATATTTTGTCATCCTCATCCATTCAACTTCACTCTCGAGCTCCATTATCTATGTGTTTTTTGGTCTGCCTTTATTTCTATGAGATATATTGTTCTCAGCTTTTCTCTGTGTTTGTCCAATCCAGTACCAGCACCTTTTCTTGACCTCTTGACCCACTAGAATTTGATTTGTTGTTTAGCAGGTTAACAAAATCATGAGACTTTATTGTCACAAGATTAAACTACAAATGGACTTCACACATTGACTCTACTCTACATTAGTGATTCTATAAAACAAATTTTTGTATTTCCTCTGTTCTGCACAGGCATCAGTTAATGAATGTCTGTAGAATATTAGTAACGTAATTGTTTTGGTTGTTCTCCATGTTTTGGCTCTATACAGCAGTATTAATTTGACCTTATAAATTACCCAATTAACAGTTTTGGGATTGATCTAATCAATAGCCCAAAATATTACTGAATGACTTGAAGAGTAAACTAATGAATAACAAAGTTGAAGCCCTAAGTGAAATATTTTAGTACATATTAGCTTCAAATGCAAGTATCTTGTCTTTTAAAAGTTGAGACTGGTAAAGTAACTACCATTCATGTAAATTTGCGAACAAACACAAGGTTTCTTTGGATAGAGCTGTGGTTTACAAACCTTTTTTTTTTAGGTGAGTGAAGTTCAGCCCCACCAGAGTCACTTAACGAGTGATAAACACACGGGCAAAAGTCCCGGAAACCTTGCTAGGTTATATAAGGGCCCCTAATCACAGTCAGGTTGGGCCTTTAAAATGACCACACACAAAATTGCTTTCCGTACTGGGACGGATGTTATGTTTTTTTTTTTTCAGGTACCGCCCCTTGAATATAGACAGGACCACCACACCCTGTCCCCATCCCAACTTTGAAAATAAAGTGGTTAAAAAAAGGGGGACAGAAAGAAAAATTACAAGCACTATTACCAAAAACTTGGGAAAAAAACCTCTGCATAATTCAAAGAGTCGACTAACATAAAAATAATCACCACCACCAACTCTCTCTCTCTCTCTCTTCCTCTCTCTCTTGTTGTACCCCACCAGGACTTCACACAAGCGATAAACACCCAGTGACACAAAGTGCCACCGTGCGGATGAGGATTACCTGTGGAGAGGTCCCAGAAACCCCTTTCAGCCATTAGGCCATATCTATGGCTAGGCCATATCTATGCCCTGGCTATATTCAGGCCCCCCGCAAAAGCCAGGGTGAGGCTTCAAAAAACGAAAAATTGCATCCCACTTGGGGATGACTGCACCACCAACTGGTAATTTAGTGTCCAAATATCAGTAGGAAGGTTGATACCGGTTTTGTCTTGACGATATCTGCTAGTTTTGGTCTGATAATGAACAAGGCACAATGGAATTAACTCCTCACATCAAGCTAGTGGACTGTTTTTTTTTATGACTCGTTAAATTTTAATTTATAATTAAACGGGGGGGGGGGGGGGGAACAAACGTGTTAATGTAACAAATTATTTCAAGTACAAATACACTCACTTTCAAATTTTCCCCCCCCCCCCCCCCCCCCCCCCCCCCCCCCCCCCCCCCCCCCCCCCCCCCCCCCCCCCCCCAACAAGTTTTAAAACCGCTGGACCTGAGAGATGAATATATAATGCTCTGTTAAACACAGTACCATGAGTTTGGGACCTATAATCTAAATTGATGGACATTTAATAATGTAAAGAAATGCAGTCATAACGTTAGTGGCGTATCCTTTACAGGACATTGCAGAACCAAGCTCAGCATTTTTGTGTGTGCTGTTATGGGTTTTCTAGGCAAATTTTACAATTAGTAGTTTGCCATTGCTTTCTAGACGGTCGGTTTCTTGATACCACTGTCAAAACCAACGCAAGGCCCGCAGCTGGGATAGAACCCTGCACCTCGGCTTTACAAAGTGCATTTGCAAGGCCTGAGCCACAGATGCTGAAAGAAAAGCAGAGAGGATCGATTTCATTGCACTAGGCTTTGTCCAGTATGGCTCTGTCTCTTTCTACACAGAATAGTTAGTTGCTTGCTGAGAATCTCACACAAAGCACAAACTGTGTAGCTCCAGCAGTGATCTTCAAGGATCTCTTCAAAAACTGCACTCATAAACTGAATGGAGTGTCCATGAAACGAACTCATGACCTCCAGAGCATAAGATTAAATGGATAAAACACTTGACCACTTTGCCATAGAGACCTGCCAGTTTTATAATACATCAAAATTCATCCAACTCATCAATATTTTGGAGAACTGTACAGTAACTACCAATCATTGAATATCTACACACTCTTATGTTTAGAAGATCAACATTACATACCGTATTACAATCACTGTGATTTACATGGATTTAGAACTAGTTGAGAGATTAACATTTCATAATGTTTTACAATCAGTTAAATATATCATGAGTTTGGAATTTGTCAAGAGATTAACATTTCATGCTGTATTATAATCAATGCTGATTATCACAAGTTTCTAAATGATAAAATAACTGTCAACAAAGATACATATTCTAAAACCAAAACAGATTAAAAAAATTCCTAGACTACGTATTTAGTCCATAGATATATCAGTGGAATGATCAGTTTTGTAAATACTGATGGCATAATCTGGCCTGCTCCACCACACAGCTTGGAGCTGACGTCTTTCAAATGTCGGATTCGATTCTGCAAGCCCATGATTATTGGTGTGCGGGATTTAATAAATTTCAGTAGAATATCTGTGTCAAGCGTATCTGCAACAGCATTAGAAGAAACAATTAATCATGATATGATTACAAAATCTGGTACAAATCTTGGTAACCTTAGTTTTAGCGTGATTTGATTTGATTCAAGAACTGACATCACAGCACCCGGGGCATTCCCATAAGCGCTCTGTCTCCATCTTCAGCAGCCAGCACAGAGTTCTGATACTAATGGTGCCAGTAGCATTCTGATTAAATGTCCGTCTTGCCTTTCCTCTGAGCCTCAGACATCTGCCAGAACCCTTCGACACTCCCCGCTGCATCAATCTCACCAACAGATCAATGGTGATCCATCTGCTCCTTCGAACTGTACACGCTCTCCCACAAGGCACTAACCACGTCTGCCTTATGCATCAGTATTCCACCAAGCTGTGCAGAGCCAGCCAGTCTGTCCACCTGTTCATTTCCCAACATACCAGCTTGTTCCAGAAAAAAATCCAGATAGTACTTCTCAGCCATGTCCTCCACAGTGAAACATGCCACTCTGCACGCAGTTTTAGCTTCACAGCAAACTGGTCACCCTATAGGTCCATTCCTGTGCCCACGAAAAACACACAGAATGTCTATCACTGTCTCTTGTGGAAAAACGGACACAGACTGTAGTCTCAGCATGTCTACTAGCATACACACTCATCAAAAGCACAAGGCAGCCATCAGAAGTGCTAACACAGTCACATAAAGCTCCACTAACTCTGTGGCAACAGGCCACGCATCTTTTCTGAACATACAGTTCACAGCACTATGTCGTCACATTTGAAAAACATTCTAAATCAAATTTGAAGTTCACACACCTTGCATTCAGCTCAGTAACTTGGCAACAAAACTAAATCCCTTCAGTCTAAATATGGATGAAAATGTACGGCCATCATCTGTCAGAAGCAAAACATTTTTTTTTAAAGATCCTCCTTTCATGCCTTTTAGGTGCATCAGGCATATGGGAAGAGCACCCATATTTTTACATACCAATCGGCACTAGGTGGGTCAGCATTAGGCCTGCTGTCTTTACTTTCCCAGGACATACATCCTGGTACCCATTTTAGGCTGGGATCTACTCGCGAGGCCCCATATCACAATAAAAATCCACGCAGCCAGCAGTGGGTTTTGATCACGGCACATTGGAATTACGAGTCGGACTGGCAACTCCTAAACCACGGACGTTGCTAGCAAAACATTTGCCTTGATGAAAAACAGTGACCGTGCCTATTGTCCATTTTGGCCAGAAGTCTCCATGGTACAAATAGATCACCATGATCAGAAGAGAATGCCGCAGCAAGAAGTGACTGGACAGTGGTTCTCAACCTTCCTGATGGCACGACCCTTGAATACAGTTCCTCATTTTGAAATATTGATTGATCTATGAGAAGTAAGACTTGCCAGAACCAACTGACTGAATCTGCAAGCATGACGAGACTGTGAGAAAGCACCTTCAAAGGGGTGTGGTCAGATGAGAGCAATATTCAACACGCCAAAGAACAATAAAAAACCAACACAGAACTGGTTTCAAATTATCCAGGCGGAAAATATACCCTAACAGGGCCCCAGTCACGTGTCAATTGCGCATTTCCAGGGACTATAATGCTAGGACTCACGAGCAAATAAAATGAAGGAAGCTGCAGGAGATACGGTAGCTGCTGCTCATGAGTCCCAGCCATCTAGTTTAGCCCCAATCCACGCCGCGTGGGTACTCTCGGCGGTGGCGGTATAGTCCCCGGAAGTTCACAATTGACACGTGACTGAGGGGGGATACTCTAGGCGGTGGCAAAAGTCACGGGAAGTGCCCAATTTAAGATGACGGAAGTGCGCAAATGACACGCAACTGAGGCCGTTAGGGTAAATTTTCCTCCTCGATAATTTGGGACCGTTATTCGGAGGATAGCAGTTTCATCAGCTGCTGCATGCTGCAGGACTCACTGATTGGCTCAATGAGCAATGAGGATAATCTGTTGACTAAGTAACTAGCTAAGGTGCCTGTACTGGTACCATTGCATACCACCAGAAAAAAACCCTGATTACAGTAATGATGATGTGTGGATTGACACTCACCAGTGGCATGTCTGCTGAGGATCGCACCAGGAAGCATACTGTAACCTTCACCTCCATTTATGAGATAACCACTTGTGAGGACTTTATATATCTTTTGCGGCTGAAGAGGTTCTAATGTGGGAACTCTACATTTGGTGCAGACTGCTAGAACCTCCACTACTCTTTCTCCGACTGGACGACTCATGTCATACGTAATCTGTAAACCTGTGTCAATTTGATTAAAAAATACATATTAAATATTTCTTGAGGAACCTTGAGGTAACTTAAACAGTATGAGAAATTAAGCCACATATACTGATAGGCACTGATATAATTAGGGATGAAAAATAGAGTATAGAGGCTAAAGTAGATAATATTTTTTGTAATTGTAACACTGTCCATGTGTGACACATGCCAAGGGCTTTCTGGCCACAACAGTCATTTAGTCCAATGATTCCCAAACTGTGCACGCCGGGGAGCCGCAACGTCTTCACAGAGGCGCCGCGAAATATTCGAAGATACACGAGTTAAATTTTTGTATCTCTTACATATGAATTTTATACTTTTACTTAGATTAGGGCCCTGTGAAAATTTGTAATTGAAAAAAGGTGCTGCCACTAAGAAAAGTTTGGGACACACTGACCTAGTCATTCCTGACTGTGCTATTGTGAAGCTGACTTAATCTACCTCTCATTTGGACTGATATTTTTCATATTGTTAAAGCTTTACTGAAGCGCAATATTTATTTTTGTTTGTAACTGCATCATTGTCTGTTTGTCTCAGATGCTGATAAAGGCTTTTTCAGCCATAATGTTCATTGTGTCATGTGGTATTGTGAAGCTATCTAGTTCTACTTCTTGTTTGGATTGAGAATATGGAGACTGAAAGGTATGCTGAAAATCTAGGATTTTCACTTGGTATTTCTACACCAGGAATGCTAAAATAAATGGATCATGGCCATGTTTGAATTCCAGACAAAATTCCTTTAAAAAATTTTACAAGGTCACTAATAAATTTGTCTAAATTTATTTATCTAGTTTAAAGTTTCTTCCCTAAATTTATAAAGATATATAAAGGAAGTTACGCCGAATGTCGGGCGGCGTATACTAACTCAACATCCCATATTGTGACAACTGCTTTGGGCAGAGGAGAGCATTGAGGAGGATACTAGCCTTATCCTAGGAAGAGGAAATGCAACTTGAAAACTTTGAGTTATGGCAGGGCAGACCAGGCCCCTCGCCTTGGCTGGCAGCTGGTCTAGGAGGGAAGCTTTGACAGGCGGACAGATAGAGCACTGCTCTTCTGATCCGGCAGCTTCTGCAACCTGCCTTGTTCCAAACGTAATGGTTTTACCTTTCCTTTGGAGTAAACAAGGCAGGTCAAGTGAGGGATCATTATGCATGGGCAACAAATGGTCTCTACAATACTGCCCAGGCTTTGTACTATGGAGAGAGAGGAACTTCATCCCTGGCCTTAATCGGTCTCAGAAACAAATTTGGTTAGTCGAAAAGGTATGTTCAATGCACTAAAGAAGATTGGATGTCTACCTACCCCACTGAGCATTATTGAGTCTTTCCACACAGGTGTAAAAGGTACAATCAACTTTGATGATATAACATCGGAGGAGTTTGTAATAAAAAATGGAGTGAAGCAGGGGTGTGTACTTGCTCCTACCCTCTTCGGAATATACTTTTCACTTCTTTCGACACATGCCTTTCGAGATCAGAGGGTGGTGTATTCATTCATTCTCGATCTGACCACAGCCTTTACAATGCTCGAAGACTGAAGACCAAAACCCGGATAAGAAAGGTACTGTTCGCAGATGATGCCACAATAACCACCCACTCAGAGGATGAGCTGCAATGTTTACTATCTGCCTTTGCTGGTAAAATGACTAACAGTCAGCAAAAAGAAGACAAAGGTTATGGTGCAAGGTGTCAATGACAGACCTACAGTCTACATTGACGGTGAAGAGCTTGAGACAGAAGACCATTTTACCTATCTGGATTCCACAGTGAATAGTAAACTATCGCTAGACCAAAAATCAACATCAGGATAGGTAAGGCAGCAACAACAATGAGCAGATTGACAAAGAGAGTTTGGGAGAACAGAAAACTCACAATTAAAACAAAACCCTTATCTATCAGGCATGTGTTCTCAGCACTCTGCTTTATGGCAGTGAAACTTGGTCAACCTATTTGCACCAGGAGAGATGGCTTAACAGCTTTCACATGCGATGCCTAAGAAGAATACTTGGCACTAAGTGGCTGGACAAAATCACAAACACTGAGGTACTGGAAAGAGCAGGTACTACAACAGTCTTTTCCATGTTCAGTTTATGAAGGCTCAGGTGGCTTGGTCACACCTGGAGAATGGAGGATGGCAGAGTCCCCAAGGACATCCTTTATGGTGAATTAAAGACAGGAAGAAGATGTCGAGGCCGACCTCAACTACGTTGTAAAGATGTGTGCAAGTGGGACATGAATGATACAGGTATTGAGCTAGACTCATGGGAACAAAATGCCATGGACTGTGTTGTGTCGAAAGGGCGTATCGGGAAGGGAATGAGACTGAAGAGAGAAATTATTGCAAAAAGGATGAAAGCTGAGCGTCTGAAAAGAAACGAGTTAAACACAAATGTTGACAATATTGGTCCTGAAATCCATGCTATCATTGTGGAAGACTTTTCTTGACACAGGCGGGTCTTGCTAGTCACACTCGCCATCGCTATAGGCTGTGAGTCTCATGCCTCCTCATAGCGCAATTTAACACTATCGTCTGGAAAGACGGAAAGGTGCCAATGAATATAAAGGAAGTAATCAATAAACAAAAACATGGTGAAGCATTAAATGTAGGTGACTTGTCTGCAACCCCGTGACCTCTATCATTGAGGCTTACATAAAAATTTGACGCTAATTTAGCTTTGAAAAAGCTGTTTGGCTTTAAAGAAAACCCTCCTATACACTATTTTTAGATAACGAATTTATATCCTGACCTCCCAAACATTTGTGCAGGTGCAAAAGCAGTAGCATTATCTATGAGTCTCATTAATAGATTACTTTAGACAAATCAGAAAGTGTCATTTGCAAAGAACTGGATCCAACCAGAATTGTCCGTTTTGCAGCGTCTTGGGGTGATAGGGTCAAAGTCAGCATTACACTGCCTGGTTGGCTTTGCATTAAAGTACATATTGTACTTAAAATGAGGCTCTGTCAACATTTGAAATTAACAGCTTTCAGTCTAGTGTTTATTGCACCTCTGGAAGCCATGACACCACAGTGGCTAGACACTTGCATGACAGCACAGTGGCTAGACACTTGCATGACAACACAGTGTCTAGACCCTTGCATGACAGCACAGTGGCTAGACACTTGCATGACAGCCCAGTGGCTAGACACTTGCATGACAGCACAGTGGCTAGACACTTGCATGACAGCCCAGTGGCTAGACACTTGCATGACAGCACAGTGGATAGACATTTGCATGAAAGCACAGTGGCTAGACACTTGCACGACAGCACAGTGGCTAGACACTTGCATGACAGCACAGTGACTAGACACTTGCATGACAGCACAGTGACTAGACACTTGCATGACAGCACAGTGGCTAGACACTTGCACGACAGCACAGTGACTAGACACTTGCTAGTCACTGAAGGTCATGGTCATACGCTCCAGTTCACATTGAAGCAGATTTTGATTTCCCACAAATGACATCAACTCCCAGACTGGCCCCGCCTCAAATGAGTACGAGGCATGTCCATGGAAGTAGTGATGATTGGGATGATGTTGATCACATTACCCAGCAAATGCTTTTTAACTCTTTGTGTACCAAGGAACACATCATACGTTTATAGGTTTCTACCTAGAAGTCCAATGAACTCATGATGCGCCGATTTTATGTCTCTCTTCGCTACCCCTTGGGCCTGTGATGCTAAACCCCCTGGGACTCAAAGAGTTAATTTATAAAAAATAGGGGGCTGAGTGGTCTCGAGATATGGTGTCTGTGTCAACAGTCTGCGTACAATGTTTCGGAACAAAACCACAGTCCAGAAGTGGACAAACAACAACGTCTTTCTACCAGAGTTTACAGCCGGTGAACATGAAGAAGAATAAGAAGACTTCACTCTAGACCAGCGGTTTTCAACCTGTGGGTTGCGACCCTTTTTTTTGGGTCGAATGACCCTTTCTCAGGGGTTGCCAAAGACCATTGCAAAACACATATTTATTGAAGATGAAGTAGCAATGAAAATAAGTGTATTATTGGGGGTCACTACAACATAAGGAACTGTATTAAAGAGTCACCGCATTAGGAAGGTGAAGAGCTACTGCTTTAGACTGTCAGGAGAACAGAACTTTAGGAGTAAGTTAAAACTTAGTTTTCCTGTGAACTTAGAACCAATAATCAACAACCAGCCATCCAAGAAACTTTTCAACCAGTAAGCTAAACATGATCTACACAGCTAAGAATCCATTAATCCAACCAACATCTTAATCGATCTAACAAACCTTCTATTTATTAAAATAGCCAGCCTTTCATTCAACGAACCATCAAACCAACCAAAAAACTAGCCAAGCAACAGACTATCCATTCATTCAATTAACCAACCAACAACCCATTCAACCATCTATCCAGTAGATAAATCAACCAGATAACCAACTATCTACCCAACTAACTATCCATCAAATCAACCATCAATTCATTCAACTAACAATCAATCAATCCTCAGCTAAATAGTAACCCATCTAATCAACAACCCAACCAACAAATGAACCATCCAGTCAAACAACCACCCATCTTCAGTGACAAGCATTGCTTCAAAGACCCAGGTAGTTTGTGTCCTTTGGAATTTTCTCCAGGGTATTCAGATGTCTTAAAAAAATAAACAGGCAACCAGACAGAATGGCTCTGCAATAAAGCATACCTATACCCGCTCAGCCAACCACAAATGTTTCCATCTAACCAAGCAGCCAATTATCCAACTAATCAACCAACCAGCTAACTATCCAACCATATTTGCATCCAACCAGTTGGCCAACTTATCAGCCAGTCACTCAACAAGCAAGTCATCTTTATACCAACTAATCCTTCAACTAATCAAACAACAAATGAAGCATCCAATTTAAAAAGTAGTCTTCTCTCCACCTATCTCTCCATCCAGTCAATCAACCAACCATTCAACCAATAACCCAACCATTCAACCTATCAGCCAACGTTTAAACCAGTCAACAAGCCATTCAACCAATCAACCAGCCATTCAACCAATCAACTGGCTATTCAACCAATCAACAGATAGCCATTCAACTAATCAACCAGTTATTCAACCGATTAACTAGCCATTCCACCGGTCATTCAACCAATCAACCAACCATTCAACTGTCTATTCAACCAACAGCCAACCATTCAACTAATCAACCAGCCATTCAACCAATAAACTGGCCAGTCAACCAATCAACGAGCCATTCAACCTATCAACAGCAAGCCATTCAACGCATCAACTAGCCATTCAACCAATCAACAGCCAGCCATTCAACCAATCAACCAGCTATTCAACCAATTAACCAGCCGTTCAACCAATCAACCAGCTATTTAACAAATCAGCCAGTCATTCAGACAATCAGCCAGCCATTCAAACAAACCAGCCATTTAACCAGCCATTCAACCCTTCAACCGATCTACAAGCCATTTAACTATTCAAACAGCCATTCATCCAATCAACCAGTCATTCAACCAATCAACCAGCCATTCAACCAATCTACCAGCCATTCAACCAATCAACCAGCCATTCAAATCAACCAGCCATTCAACCAGCTATTCAACCAATCACCCAGCCAGCCATCCACCAAGTGAATTGCATCATATATCAATGCAAACCCAAATATAATAGCATAAAGAGAAATCAAAGCAAGAAAAAAAAAATTCATATCAAAATAAACATGGTCACAAAGACAGTAATAAATACAGTTGGGAAACTTGATTTAAAAAAAAAGAGACTATACATTGCAGATCTGATAAGAACAAATCCATGGGGACCCAAGAAATAGTTCTTCTGATCATAAATTCCTCTTATCTAGATAAGAATTGAAGCAACAACAAAAAATTGCTGGGGATTTACAAATTGTTCTTTAAAAGAGAAATTTTATAACGAAAAGATGTACCTGAAACCTGCAGAAAACCTCCAAAGGCATCACTGGGAACTTCAGTCCATTTAGAAGCAGCAAACTCCAGCATTTCCAGGAGAGTTTGTCCACGTATCTCTATAACATCTATTGTGTTTCTGAACGGCTGCACAAATATCACTTTTTCAATTGTGATGTTTCCTGTATGGTAAAAATGACACATAAAATAAGTTACTGACTGGCACTCATATAAGTAGAGGGGTTGAGTTAAGAAGAGACATCAAAACCCTTAGGGCATTCCCAAAAGTGATACATATCCTCTTTAGAAGCCAGCAGAAAATTTCAAATCCCAAAGTCTCACAGCTGTCTGATGGTATATGTGCATTGCCTTTGCTCTGAGTGTTGAGTGTTGGCTAGATCCTTGATCACTCCTCGCTGCATGATTCTCTTCACACCGTGATCATTTATTGCTGCTTCCAACCTGTTCACATGCTCTCAAAGGGCCTTGACCACATCCTGTTTGTCTGCATCCGTTTACCAATAAGTGATGCAACATCATGCAGTCTGTCTACCTGTTGATTTCACAACACACCTGAAAACCCTGGGGAAAATATCCAAAGAACACTAACTACCCTTTGATCTCTGAAACAATGCTTGCCATTCTGCAAGAAGCATACATCTCCAACTTTTTCAGCATGCTTTGAAGGTTAGTTAAATCATGACATGTGTATGCAGCTAGCTCTCAAGTTAACGGAAGGTTGCAGCTGCCCTCACTTCCATTCTCAAACTAGATGTTGTGGTCTGATATACTAGGCCATGTTGCACTAAGCAACAATTGGAATTTTTTTTTTATATCTGTATCTCAGTACAACGACAGCACCTCATTATCATCAGTCCATCTTTTCCATGTGCAACCTTTTGCACTAATATCAGATTTTAAGCCTAATTCAGTGCAGACAGCTTAAAGCGATCTCCTTATTTAGGCCTTTCTCTTCTGCAACTCCATCTCATTCTTCCATGCCTTATTGTCTCTTTTTATCTTATTTCTGTCTTTTGCTTTTCTCCACTCTCTCCTTGTCTCAATCCACTCTATTTTCCCACACAGAATTCTCCTCCTTCCCTTTCTTGTCCTCTCCACTCATCCTTCATTTCCTACTTTCTATTCCCACCCACCCCATATATAAAATATATTGTTAATAAATTTACCTTTTGGTAAAGAAGATCGGAAACTACCAGCGTTGACAAGGGCAATGCCTACATCAGTCCAGGACTCTGGGTCTGTGTGTTGTAAATTCTGGTGCACTACAGCATCTGTCACCAGGTTGCCTGCCATATTATAGGAGACCCAATATTTATTTTATGCAAAGATAAGGACACAATGTTTAGAAGATTTATTGTTGTATACATATGTAAGGACACTACGTGCAGAAGACAGGTAGGGAATTTCCTGGTTAGAAAAAGATTTTGACTTTTTTTTAACCCAACCAGACTTGAGGCCCTGAACCTAACTGCCCACTATACCTGAGCTCCTGGGTATAACCACGAAAAAACCAACATGATATACACAAATATTAGTTACATGCAAACAAGTAGTTAGAAAAAGATGAAACTTGGAGACATTGCAGAAAAAAGGTTTACCTTTCATGCAGCATAAATATTTTTCTATGCCAATCCCCCCAGCAGGTCAGCCTTATTTCACAAAGTGAGCACCAGATGTTGCTGTTTGAGAGACACGCCCCCTTATCTTACTATCAATCTAGTTTTAAACTTATAATTTTTAAGATTTTCCTTATCACTTGAGCTCTCACTGACTGTCACTTTAATTGGGAACGTATTCTTCATGAAATTCTGACTCTTCAGAGTCTGAATAAACCAAAGTATCGATCACCTGTTGGACTGTGAAAAGCCTAGACCTACTTTACTTTCCTGTCAAAGTGCTTGGCTCATCAGCCGCTCATTTCACTGTGAATGTTCAGAATTGTTTCACATAAAGTGAATCAAAACACGTGGGCAGCAATTCACAATGACTAACCATGAGGTCTGACCATGACTGGCTAGTTATTTTTAGTTTGTGATGCCTTGTTTTGACATAGTACGCAAAGTACCGACAATGAGGGACACCGGTTTAGCAGCAGATTAAGAAATTACCGCAGTAGCAGTAGATCAGTTTGGTAGAGTTAAACAGAAGAGAAAACCTGATGATTTTATACAGACATGGAATTAGGTTTAAATGCTTTCAGAAACAAATGCTTGGTGATTACTGTTAACATTATATGGGAAGACATGAGAAATCAGAGAAATATTCAATGTTAAATTAAGAATCAAACTCACAGCACCAGGGGAACTCGGATAAGCACTCTATCCCCATCTTCAGCAGCAAGCAACTAGTTCTAATTCTGATGGCACCAGTAACTATTTGATTATATATCCGCCTCGCCTTTCCCTTAAGTGTTGACCAGATACTTTGGTAACTCCTTGCAACGCCATTCTCCTCAGACCAAAATGATCTGTTTTTGCCTCCACACTGTTCAATCTTTCTTAAAAAACTGTTACAACATCTAGCTTCTCATATATTTATTCACCACGAAGCGGTGCAGAACCAGCCAGTCCATCTGCTTGTTCATTTCCTAACATGTCAGCATGCCCTGAAAAAATAACCAAAGGATGCTAACTACCTAGGACCTTTGAAGCAATGCTTGCCACTGTTTAAGGAGCATGCCTGTCTCCACCTTTTTCAACATGCTCTGTGAGTCAATTCCAATTATTACATGTGTGCACAGCTTGTTCTCAAGACAGCGGAAGGCAGCAGAAACTGCCTCCACCTCCCTTCTCAAACTACCGGGTAAGCTCTTGTACTTCCCAGAATTACCTGCTAGGCTTTCTTCTGTATTCGTCAGCTGACACTTTGATATGGTGAGCATTCCATGTCCATAATCTGTCACTGCACAATTCCCACCCAAGTGATGTGATTATCTATGCAGATGACTCTGTGTTGAGAGGCAGATGAAGTGCATAATGGTTCATAGTGAAGGCGATTAGATGTCGCTTAGTGCAGCAAAGCCTTGCATATGATATCAGATCTAGTTTGAGAAGGGAGGTGGAGGCAGTCTCCTCTGCCTTCCACTGGCCTGAGAATCAGCTGTACACACTTGTCATAATTGTAATTGACTCACAGAGCATGTTGAGAAAGGTAGAGACAGGCATGCTCCTTACAGAGTGGGTAGTTAGCATCCTTTGGATATTTTCTCCAGGTTATGCCGTTGTGTTGGGAAATGAGCAGGCAGAAAGACTGGCTGGGTCTGCACCACTTGGTGGTGAATTGATGTATGACAAGTTAGAAATTGTGAGTTCCCTTTAAGAGCGAGTGAACAGTCCGGAGGCACAGATAGACAATCATTATGGTCTAAGGAGAATGGCGCTGCAAGGAGTTACCAGGGGAGCTGGCCGATGCTTAGCACCGGTTACACAATCAGACGGTTACAGGTACCATCGGAATTGGAACTCTTTGCTTGCTGCTGAAGATGGGGAATGAGCACTTATGAGAGTGTCCCGAATGCTGTGATGTCAATTCCTAATTCAACATTCAACATTTAATCTGTCACTGCCAGGATCACATGCTGGAACATTTTGAACAGCATTTCTTGTTCAATGTCCATTGCTGCCAAAATCTTGAGAGCATTGAGTCCTTTCTGGCATTTCACCTCAACTAACACCACATGATTTAGAGAAATGTCTAAACAATTGTTGGTATCAGTAGTTATAAGAGAAAACAGATGACAATATAACTAGGCACATTCTAAGGATAAGCAGACAGACAATTACAAAACATGAATTGAAATGGGAAATAAATTGACTAAGAAATGCGAAAATCCAAGAACATCCCTGTGATAAATTTTGAGAGGACCACTTGGTGGTGAACTGATGAATGACAAGTTAGATATTGTGAGGACCCTTTGAGAGCGTTAACAGTGCAGAGGTGCAGATAGATCATTAAGGTCTAAGGAAAATGGTGCTACGAGGAGTTACCAGGGAATCTGGCTGACACCCAACACTCAGGGGATGGATGAGATGGATACACAATCAGACGGTTACAGGCACCATCAGAATTGAAACTCTTCATTTGCTGCTGAAGATAGGGACTGAGCACTTATGGGAGTATCCCGAGTGCTGTGATGTTGATTCTTTATTCAACACTCAACATGTTGAGAGGCTAGAGCAGCTAGACTGGAATCCAGATATAATACTGAAAGGATCAAACAGGCTAGAGAAGAATAAAATAACAGACTGTATAGATAGCACAAGAGGAGGATGACATGTATGCCTTCCAAGTAAACTACTCACCCAGGTTACATTCTGTGGTTCTGCAGCGGACTCTATCAGCCAGTAGGTCAACAAAAGCTTCACCAATGATGGTACTTTTCATAGCCTCAATCTTTGGTATATACTTTGCAACCAGCTCCTCTGTTTCATTATCTGTAAGAATCAATCAAAAAAGTAAAAAATGATTAAAGGACACTTTTCCACGCCTTTAGACATATAGAGCATATATGGCTAGACCTATATTTTATAGACCAATCAGCACTAATGTGTGATGTAGCCAGCATCACGCCTGCCGCTTTTACTTTCCGGGACTGCACCCAGTACCCACTCAAGACTGGGTCGACCTGGGAGCCAAGGTCATTTTGGAAAAAAGTCCGGCTTCGCCAGGGAGCGAACCCACGACCTTCTGATCCGCAGGCGAACGTCTAGCCACTCTACCATGGTGACTCCCAAGAATCAATAATAAGCCAAGCATTACTTATTTTAAATCAGTATTTGTCACATAAGTAAAAGTAATTCAACAGAAAAAGAAAATTTGTAACAATGGAAATGAGATGTCAGAGAAGGACTGCAGGAGTTACCAGAAAAGATAAAATCAGGAACGAAGTTATAATAGAAAAAGTCATCACATTCAATTATACAAAACATAAAAAGACAGCAGATCAAATGGTGTGCACAATTTAGAGAGAATGCCTTGTGACTCTGTACCGTATAGGTAAAGTAAAAAAAAAAAGTAAAGGACCCTTTTTCACGCCTTTAGGCGTATAGGGCATATAGGGCTAGACCTATATTTTTATAGACCAATCGGCACAGGATGGGTGATGTGGTCAGCATCACGCCGGCCGCCTCTACTTCCCGGTACTGCACCCGGTACCCACTCAAGGCTGGGTCGACCTGGGAGCCAAGGTCATTTTTTGAAAATAGTCCGGCTCCGCCAGGGAGCAAACCCACGACCTTCCGATCCGCGGTGAGCGGTACCGTATAGGGCATATACAAAAAAGAGGAGAAGGACATGGATCACAAGGTAGACCAAGAACAAAATAGAAAAATAGTATTAGAGAAGTTTTCAAACAAGCACAACGATCAAAGTAGCCAGAACAGAAAGAAGCAGAATTTTGTATCTCCTTCGACATCTGAAGTGGTGAAAGAGGAAGTGAAGACAAAGAATAATAATTCCGCAGAAAATACTGCCGGATGCATATGAAGGCGTCTGCAACTTGTATACTAGATCAGTGTTCCTCAAACTATTTTACACATGTAACCCACCAAAATGATTTAAATTGTTTCACAGCCCACCTGACAGCTAACCAAACACAGAAAACAAGTAAATATAGACATCAGATAATTTGTCAACTCTGATATCACAAAATTACAGTTTTTAGCTAAAGTGACAGCTTCTGTTGTGTAGAGGTGGGAAAAAATTGGATAAAAATGTGGCTAGAGCGTTGTTTCTGGCAGACTAAGCATTTCATTAACATTAATATCCATTTAATTTCTCTGTTTGATTTTTATTTTTGACATGCCTGGAAAAGGCTTTTCACACAAATAGGAAGTCCTTGAGGTGTTAATCCTACAGACTGGAAGAGAACAACCACCTACCCAACCTCATTACATGATTAAACAGAATTTTTTGGACACCCACATGGATTTTTCCATGAACCACCAATGGGAGCAGCAGCCCAC